CTAAAATCACACTATGATGTAAAACACGGTCTCAGGATTATAGAAAAAAAAATAATTGAAAAAACTGAACATTTTGACCAAATTGACAATTCCCATTGCCACGTCCCACCGTAAGGGTGGAGGCTACACTTAAATGAGCAACTTTTTAATTTATTTATAGATCTGAACAAAATTCTCACAGTTTGTGTATTTAGATGTGCATATTATAAAAATGTAATTACTTTTTTGATAGGTCAAGTAGTTTCCAAGATTCTCTACAATCAATGTAAAACTTGTGTCTTTTGTTTGCAGCCTAATTAGCATCTAAGCAGGAAGCACCAAAACATTGGCGACAGTCTAGAAACAATGTCGGATGCTTAAGGAGTGCAATATGCTATAAATCAATTTGCTAGGACAACTTCAACGGGAGTTAGAGGACATCAATGTTCAGAGAAAAACAAGCCACGTTCACCTGTCACGCATGTGACCTAATAAAAAATTTTGTGATCTGTATATTGCCTTCAAAATAGGCATATTGCATACTACATGCATTTATCTTTCTGGCAAAAAAATAATTAAGCTGATAGCTCGAACGGAACAGAAGCTATGTTTTTTCCAACTTGGCAAATGTGCCAAAATTGATGTTGTGAGAAAACGAGAAAAAACTTTTCAGAACACCTTTATTGAAAAAATACTAATAAAATCTTAGGAAAATGCACCAGGGGCATAATCTGGATGCATGCCAACCTTGTGCTTCTTCTTGACCAGCTTTCTCAGACTTTGGGACGCTTCTCTCTATTTATTTGAGGTTGCACTCAGACAACAGACCTTCTCCCTAGCCCTCAGGGATGTGCTGCTGAATATCGTGATGTCCAGCTGTTCTAGAATTGCAGCAAATGTATTGACATTGCCCATGCTGAAGCACAGCGCAGCTTCTGCAGCAGCAGCTTGCACAGCAAAAAGAGAAGCGTGCTGCTCCTTTGATACCAAGTTCCAAATCGCGGATTGGAGGCTTTCGTGTGAATTCTGAGTCTTGCCTTGCTGGCATCTTGCCTCGCTGCCGCACCACTTGACTCCGAAAAGTGCTGAATTTTTCGCACTGTTGCAGACACCGACAAAATACCCTCGAGCGTCTCGCAGGCGCGCGCGTCGCGAACTTCACTGGCATTGATCACATCAGCGTCTACCCGAACACGGCCAGAGTCGACATAGTTCAAGCTGTCGCGAAGGCCCATGTGTACGCGCACTTCATTGTTACCAATAGCATCGACGCTGTCATGATTCACAGACTGTCCGCTATCCGGGGAAGCCATCTCGCACACTCCTCCATTGATAGCACCTTCAGTACACGGGCGGCCAGCGTCCAGGTCGCGCAAGCATCAACAACAGTCTTCGGTTACGACAGTGTTATCAAACGTCGACACTTGCTCCCATGACACAGTATCAGCACCATTGGGTTTCTGCCTTTCTTCTGTGAACGGCAAAAAGGATGCTGGGATCGGAACTTTTTTCGAACCCCCGGGCATAGTGAGACAAGCACAGTAGGGATACGAGTCACGACACCTTCACGATACCTCTTTAAAATGACGGCAGACACTGCCAGCAAGTTTTCTTGGCGAATCGGGAAGCACCATTTTGGTCACGTGGGTCAAACAATGGATGGAATCACGCACTGCGCGTGAATTTGACTTCGCTTTTTTTGCTTTTACGAGGGTCACATACCGTAATTACTCGAACCTAACGCGCACCTTTTTTCCGGTTAAGCGAGTTCATAAATCGCATGCGCGTTAGAATCGAGTACGAAAAAAAAAAAAATACGTTCAATCTATTGCCATCGGCAAATCCAAAATGGCCGCCCCCTACGTGCGTCGGCATGGCGCGTCAGCCGTTTCTGCCTATGTGTTTCCCATGTGCGGCACTTCGTACGTGTGCTGAGGAGTTTGTCATCTAGTAGTGCATTAGCATCGACGGCGTGGAAGGGCCGACTCCAAAAACTCGAGTGCACCACGATGCCGCTTTTAAAAGAAAAGCCATCGCGTGTGCGAAAAGTTTTGCGGAGGAGTACGATGAAAAGCTTCACAGTTTTCAGAGGTTCGTCCTAAACTTGCGGCGCAACAACGGCTACCTGCTTGGGCAAATCGGGAATGCCGATCAGACGCCTCTTTACTTCGACATGCCTGGCACCATAACCGTCGAGAAGAAGGCGGCGAAGCAAGTTCGCGTGCTGACATCGGTCCACGGTAAAACTACAGTGACGGCAATGCTCTGTTACACGTCAGATGGGCACAAGCTTCGCCCGTGCCTCATATTTAAATGGAAGACGCTCCCGAAAGGAGTCGTTTTTTCGAGTGGTGTGATCGTGCGGGCCAGCGAGAAAAAAGGGTGCGCGTTGCAATCGATGTCTTACTTTTTTTTTTTTTTTTTTTTTTCACGGTGGAAATCGGATGCGCGTTACAATCGAGGGCGCGGTAGAATCGAGTAAATACGGTAGTTGTCTACTGGAAAAGAAAGAAAAAGCTAAAAACGCGACCTTTCCAACAAGACCAAAATTGCGCTGGTGGAGCATGTAGTTCGCGTGCCAATAGCGGTTGAAGTACCGCTAGTTTGCATTTCAATTTAAAGATCCGCTTGCGCGTAGTTGCTTTCTTTATGGGTTATAACTTGAGAAATAAGTGGAATTTCGAAGCCAAACTGCTGATAGGTGTGGAAGGGCATCGGGAACGCAATAACGATGAGAGGAAAATGCAATTTTTTACTTCTAAGTGCCGCGTCCCCCCTTAAACCAGCTGTAAAAACTTTGTAGTCGGCAGAAAACCACAAGTGAGAACGTGAAACAGCTATTGGGCAAGCCCCCCACTGCTGAGTTCAGCAATTTTGAGCGTTAAAAGCGCTTCTCCATAAAATGGAGCACGTGAAACGCGTAGAAAAAAGGGAAAGTGAAGCTAGAGGGAAAGCGAAAGTAATTAAGAAAAAATAAAGTAAAGGGTATAAAGAAAAAAAATAGGAAACATGGAGCAAAATTAAGAGAAACGAAGAAAGATAAGGAAGCACAAAGAGATAGAAGCATACTTGAAAATAGATTTAAATAAGCAAGATGGAGAGAGAGAAAAATTAAAGAGAAATAAGGAGTGCAAAAAGCAGAGTGAGAGAAACGGGAAGCATGAGGTACAAAAATGGCCCCGCCACGGTGGTCTAGTGGCTAAGGTACTAGGCTGCTGACCCGCAGGTCACGCGATCAAACCCCGGCTGTGGCGGCTGCATTTCCGATGGAGGCGGATATGTTGTCGGCCCGTGTGCTCAGATTTGAGTGCACGTTAAAGAACTCCAGGTGGTCGAAATTTCCGGAGCCCTTCACTACGGCGTCTCTCATAATCATATAGTGGTTTTGGGTCGTTAAACCCCACAAATCAATCAAATCAATCGAGGTACAAAAATGTAATACAAGAAACAGAGAAAGAAGGAAATAGAGGAAGAAACAAGTCAACCCAGCTGCAACTTTCCTTCAAGCTTGACATCACTAGTGCAAAGCTGTCATAATTTATTTGACTTTTTCATTTTATTCATATTTACTTATTTGAAAAAGGTGATCAGAACCATAACACTTGAAAGGTGTGGATTGTCTCGTGTCACACTGCACCCATTCACTGAAATGTTTTCAAGGCACACCATTGCACGTACGTAGAGCGCCTAGGTGCAGTAGACCAAAAATAGATTGCAGAAAGTGCAGCTAAACTTCGCTGAATTTAAAAGACACATCTGTCCGCTTTCCCTTAGTTGTAGTTCTCAGTGTTAGATACAAGGCTTTGCAGTGATGCTGCATTTTTGGGCAGCTCTTCTCTATATTATAACTTGCACAGATCTTTCATTGAAAACCCGACTACCTCTATGTCAAATTTCAAAAATATTTTTAAAGTGATTTTGTAAGAAATTTTCTGCAGTTCTTGTAGTTATATCGTCTGCCGCCGCTTGTAAAAAGAGTAAAAAGTGCGTGTGTGTCTTAAATGACTTGCCGACACCTGCAAAAACTGCACGCTGTTTCGACTTTGGTCGGTAGTACAAATGCCATCGCCTCCACCGACCAGTGTTGTGGATATTCGTTGGAAGGAGACTGAACGCAAATTGGGAAATTCCATTTTAAAAATTTCTACACACTTTCCAGAAAAACCGCTACAAGAATATACACTTGAGATGGTACACTTTTTATCGCAACACTAAACAGAACAGCAGTGAAGGGCAGTGGACAGTCTCTTTAATGACGATGATTGTTATAGCACGAGCTAAGAATGACTACAAAGGGATAAGAAAAGTAGCGGTTCTGGTTAGCGCTCTCGTCTTCTTGTCCCTCTGTCGTTCTGAGCTTGCACTATAACAATCGTGATGTCCTACCAGCTAGCCCGAACCGCCACGCTTCAAAGTGCCTTTAAGCTTAAATGCTCGTTATGCCAGCTTGTATGCTCTGAATATGATAAATTTTGAAATGTTACGTATTTTACAGGTTATCACTTGTATCCTACCAAAAGTAAAATTCTGCTACTACTCAAATTTGTTCTGACTTCCTTTGAATGAAAGAAAAAATTCATCTGCACATAGGCCTTGTTTCAATTTTTAAAAATATTGTGCAGATTAGTTTTGTTACGTCATGATAAATATGTCCATTATTCGATTAAAACCACTATTTGCACGAGCCTACTTAGAATTAGTCGAGGAATTTTTGTGGTGGTGCTTCCTTCCTTTTATAAGACACCCCTTCCTTCTTTGTATTAATTTCGTTGGCAACGAGGGTCTTTGGACAATAAGTATTTTAACATTCAGAAATTTAAATAGCTGTAAGCACAGAGATGCAAGGCTGCATGCTCTACACATTTTGCACAACAGTGGCCCTTGAAAAAGGTAGTTCTGGTTATAGTGCGGTACTTTTTGTATTGTAGATATTCCAGACTCCTGCAACTCGCGTTATAAGCGGTCTATGCTGTATAAGGATGCGTGAAGAGCCGAACTGCTGACATTACATTGCATTGCAGGACCCTTGGCCTTCCAACCAATTCCTTTCTCTAAGGCGGGCAACCCTATAATGTCCACTGTTGCATTCCTGGCTTCGGTGGTTGATCCTCGTGTGGCGTCTGCAGCAGCCAAGGCTGCAATGGGTGCGTTTTTTTATAATATCACTAGAGTTGTAGCTGAACCTTACAAGTTGTGTAGCTTTTTCACGTGGTAGCAGTTTCAAAGCAACAGCCTAAGTACTGTACAGTTATGAATGCCAAGAAAAGATGAGAAGAGGACATGTAATGAGTTCTGATGGTTCTTTCAACTCAATAACACGAAAAACTCGCCCTTGATTTGAGCTTCTAAATTGGTAGGACAAAGTAAAGAGAGGGTGTTAAAACCATTGAAGGCCAGAATAGGGAATGCATCAGCATACCATCTGTCGAAAACAGGAAAGTACATGCTCATGGGGAAAGGTGCACATGCCTTCATGGCTGCTGTTGTGCCTACAATGGAAGCTGTGCTGCGTGAACGAAACTTTGCCAAATCTTGGTCAAACTTTCTAGTTGGAGCTAGAAACCTCAGTGTGCTTTGAGCAGGAGTGCATTGCTCTAAAAGAACTGGCCAAAAATCACCTTTCGCCGGTGCTCAGAAATGCTCGACAACAACCATTTGAATGTGCCATTAGTGTGACTATCACTGACACAAGTGATATCACTGTATGGTACATACACTACTGTGATTGTTGTTTTCAAGTAGTAACTGCTGTGTGTGTGTGTGTGTGTGCGTGTGTGCGTGTGTGTGTGTGTGTGTGTGTGTGTAGCGGGACTTGATGCTTGTTTGCCTGTGCCTGAAAGATTGTTCAGGTGAGGCCCTTGAACAGTTTGTGAATCTTTCCCATGGCAAACCACAGAGGAATTTGCAAAGATCAAGGACGAGGTTCCCTCGGCCCTGCTGGA